TTACATATACTTTCTGCCCTTGATTTTTTTTCACTTAAAATATGGCCATCTTTTAGGGATATATAAGGAGTATAGAATATAAGGAACTTGTTTATTCTTTCTTCCAGCTTCATAGTGTTCCATTCCATTGTGTAGGTCCACCATATTTATTCAATAGTTCCCTATTGATGGACTTACAGGTTATTTAAATAACATTTACTGTTGCAAATTATGGTACAGTGACTACCTTGTGTACATGTTTGTTTTCTGTTTGTAGAAGTGTTTCTTCATGGCAGATTCCTAGTAGTGATGTTGCTAGCTCAAAGGGAAAATGCACTTGTGCTTTTGAGAACATTCTCAAAATACCCTCCAAAGGGACTGTGCCATTTGATGCTCCTCCCAGCAATGCTGTTTCTCAGATCTTGCCACGAGTATAGGGTCAAACCTCTGGATTTTTGCCAGTCTTATAGGTGAGAGAAAATGATATCTCAGTGGGATGTTTGTCATGTAAATTAAATGGCATAGATATTAAACTGAGTACAACATGAGTCTTCATATTTAGAAAACAGACAGATTGACTGCCCCTCATTTTAGTGACCTAATGGAAGCACCATCACCCTACTGGTGGGGAACAAATTCTTTGTTCAAAACTCCTTTGTGATGGGGAAGTCCCTGCACAGGCTTTCTCTGCCTGCAAGATTTCCACTGAGTTGCTTTTATTCTCTAAGGCCCAGTGCTTCCTGCCAAGGCTGAGTATTTCACCTGAGTATACGAGAGCGAGTGTCTAATGTCAAGCCCGCCTCTGCACATTTGGCATTTTATGCCCCTTGCCATATTCTAGATCTTTTCAGTAAGCCATCTGGCTGGAAGGGAGCTCCACCTTCACTGGGGAATTATTTTCTTCTAATCCCTTTATTAATTGTTCTGGGAGTCCACAGCACATTAAAAAGCTGCCTCACAGGCCAGATGCAGTGGCTCATGCTTGTAATCCTAGCACTCTGGGAGGCCGAGGTGGGCGGATCGCTCAAGGTCAGGAGTTCAAGACCAGCCTGAGCAAGAGCAAGACCCTGTCTCTACTAAAAATAGAAAGAAATTCATTGGCCAACTAAAAATATATAGAAAAAATTAGCCAGACATAGTGGCGCATGCCTGTAGTCCCAGCTACTTGAGAGGCTGAGGCAGAAGGATTGCTTGAGCCCAGGAGTTCGAGGTCACTGTGAGCTAGGCTGACACCATGGCACTCTAGCCCAGGCAAGAGAGTGAGACTCTGTCTCAAAAAAAAAAAAAGCTGCATCACAGAGAGAGTTCCCTGACTCAGACTCCCTCTGCAGCACCTTCTTATACTGTCTTTGTTCTTGTACTGATCTTTAATGACATGGCTGAGGGACAGTGTGGTTTAGTGGTTAGGAATGCAGGCTCTGGGGCCTGATCGCCCAGAGTCAAATTAGAGCTGCTCTACTCACTAGCTGTGTGTGATACTGGTCAAGTTTCCGAACCTCTTTGGGTCTCAGTGCCCTTATCTGACAAGTAGGGTGATAATAGTATCTATATCATAGTGGCTGTAAGGAGTAGAGCCAGTACAGCGAAGCTGTATCAACCAAGAGTTTCACTTTCCTGAACTCAGCGCTGGGCTCTGGCCTCCTCCCACCACCCCTCTCCTCCCACCTGAAGAGGAAAAATAGAGGGAGTCATTACAATATGAATGCTTTAATTAGAAATAACATAAAATTATATTTTGCATATGTATTTTTATCATGTACTATACATTTCCATATGCATCAAATATTACACATGCATATTACCCTACAGCAATGGATAGAAAAAGCTGTAGTCCTGTAGACTATACTTTACAGGTGGTTTAAGATACTTTTTCGAGGGTAATTTTGACACTGATTTTTCCCTTGCCCGACGACTTCAGATACGAATATCCAAGGAAGATGCGACTCTCATCTAAATTGTAGCGATGAATATTATCTGCATCTAGAGCAAAGTAAAACTCAAGTAGCAGAATCTGCTAACCATTGAAAATAAATCCGAAGTGCAGATAAAACCTTTCTTAAATCATAATGGAAGAACAGTATTATAGTTACGAAAATTCCATGCATTCACTTCTTTATTTTTTTCTTTTCCCCAGGCTCACATCTGTTCTATAGAGTGAAGTCCACACGTATCATTTACATTTGGCCTTCCTTATTGCTTTGTAGACGAAGCAGGCAGGTCACCTTGCAAAATACAGAGTAACACCCCCTTAATTTTGCAAGTGGCATATATTGATATTAATGTCACCTTCTTCCACTTCCCTCCCTGAGTTATGGAAATAAATGAGATATAGGTGGGATGCTCAGAGAAGCTAACTGTAGTAGACAGGCGCAGTGCTACCTGGTCACAGCACTTGTGTCCTTGGCAAGAAGGAGCTGTCTCCTCATTGAGTTACCTGGAGGAGAAAAAGAGGTTCTGTGGTGTGAGGATGGGGCCAACCGGTCTGCTAGGGAGTTTAGATAACAAATGCTGTTAATTGAACAAATTATCTTTGTTACAAAATAAGCAAATTATTTTACAATTTAATGAATAAAGAAGCTTCTAATGAACTCTAATAGAAAGATTTGCTCACAAATTTCGGTAGATAAGCTCCGTATTATTCTTTGTGTTAATATTTTATTTTTGTGACCCACCTTAATTTTTTTTTAATGTTCTTTATTGGCATAACAAAATTTTAAAGATGAATAGCAAACCTAGAGATCATTCAGCCTCACTCTTATTTAAAAAAATAAAATAGGAGACTATGGCCCAAAGAGATCCTGTGATTTATCTCAGGTCCCTTAGCTGGTCAGCTGTCCAGGAGGATCATATCCCCAGGAGACTGTGTGACCAGCAAAGGAAGGGCCTCAGCCAGACTCTGGGGTCTGCCAGGCTGGCCCTGGAGTAGCTCTGCTCCCTCCTGCTCCCTGCTCTTGCTCTGGGTCCTGTAGGGCTCTGCTGGCATCTTACTGTCACTGCTTCCACAGCTAGGACACCCTGGTCTGCTAGAAGCCCTGACCCAAACCTACTTTGTCCCTTCCAGCTCAAGGTCCATCTCCTGGCTCTGCATTGCGTGGCCTGACTACCTGGTGTGTCATCCACTGTGACTAGCACTAGGGCCCACTCGGAATCCTTTAACTGATGGCGTGTGGTCAAGGGTTTCCGGGAGCGTTCACTCTAGTTTCTACTCCAGATCAACAGGGATCAGGAGGTTATGAAAAAATTGGTCCAACAACCAGATCTCTTGATCCCTAAATCCTGGGCCTATATATGTATATGTGTGTGTGTGTGTGTTTTATTAATAAACTTTATTTTTTGGAGCTTTCAGCAAATTTGAGCAGGAAGTACAGAGTGTTCCCATATACACCTTGTCCCCATGTACAATCTCCCCCACAATCAACACCCCGCACCACAGTGGTACATTATCCTGGATACTCCTTTTCATCCCTAAATCCTAGGTTCTTTGTCTTCAGGCAACAAAGAAAACACACACACACACACACACACACACAGGATATAAGTGACTGTCTATGGAACACGAAGGCAGGCATGTAGTCAGTTTAAGTTTAGTTCATTTTGTCCTGGCATCCTGGCCTTCCATGTTAGTCTGCCCCAAGGTGACATCAAAGCTTGCACAGGGAGATAGCCCTGCCCTGCTCCTTTCTCCTCTCTGGCACTCAGAACCAATTCCAAATTTCTGGGTCTGGGATTCTGATTGGCTACAGTTGAGTCAATGGTCCGTCCCTAGTGCAGGAAACTGAGGTTCAAGGTGTGGGATCATGTGTAGATATGTCTGCCCTGGGGCCCACCCTGTGGCCAGGGAGGAGAGGAAGAGAGAAGAGATTAGTTTAGGGTGTGGTTATGGCCTGAGCAGATGATCCGAAAGCTGTCTACCATTCCATGATACTGTATAATCCGTAGTCTGTAAATTCTTCAGTGGCCTCTTTTCTAAATCCTTTTATATTAATGTTATTAACATATATTGGCCCCAGAGTTTGGCCATTGCAAGAGGTTCATCCTTGGGCCTTTGCTCTTCCCCTCATTCATGCTTTCTTGGAAAAAGCATCATACTTTGAGTGTTGTCACCAACTATGACCTCTCCCCACCCCCATTCGAGTATAGACCCACTGAAAGTGACCATATCCAAAGATGAACATCCTTTCTCTGAGACTCTGTCCCCATCTTTGCTCCTGCCTTCTGGGTTTTCTTACCTAATGGGACATGTGGTTGTGGCATTCTCCCAAATAGCCATTTGGGAGTGAAGCTGGGCAATTTGGGAGATACATTTATAATGTACACTGTAAACAGATTCCTGTTTTATATTTTAAAACCAAAGCAACCCATTGATTTTCCATCAAGGGATTCTTTTACAATGGACACTTCCATAAAAGTTGTGAAAACTATACTTGAAGCAGCATATTTAAACGTTATGATGTCAGTCTGTTGAATTTATGCATGCCTTCCAATGTTAGTCTTCTAGCTTTCTGAGAAAAGCAACAATTCTCTCTGAAATTGCCCATTATGTGAAATGCGGGTGATTACCGCTAATTCACATCTGCACTGTCACCTATGTGGTGGATTTGGGGGGTTGATGCCGCACATTGGTATGCACTCATCAAAGGTTATGTGTATGCACACAGTGGAAGGCATTTTTGTGGAAGGCATTTTATATAATTCCAAACAATTTAATAAAAATGTAATTCAACTGGGAAAACTACAGTCCGTCTGCCCTTTCAGAGTACAGATAATGTTCCAGATTAAAGGGCTGGAGCCTTGTTCATTATAGTCAAATAACGTGAGCGTGTGAATTACCATTTTCCTTGCTGTTGGACTATTTCAAAAGTGTGCCATTTTCCCATTATAATAATAGGCTGCATTTTCTTAAAATCATCTGATTATGATTGGTCCCATCTATTCCGTTTGCAAATAAAAAGCTTTTGCGGTGATAAACTAGCTGTTCTAAAACAGCCTTCATCTCCAATTCTGCTTTTGAACCACTGCAGGTCAGACTCTGCGAAAGGCTGACAGGAGCCGGTCCTCCTCACGGGAGAAAAAGGAGGTAAGCGTGTCTCTGGTGAGGGCTGCTGGGACGCCACTCTGTTTGAAAGGACCTGCGGGACAGGGTGGCACATAAGTATTCCTGGATCTCCCACTCTTTTTCTCTTGGAGTCCCAAGCTTTCTGAAGCCTGGAGCAAATGCTGGTTGGTAACTAGACTTTCAACCCGGTGTCACTTTTGATAATCATCTCTTACTGAGCATATCAGCTAGCTTTGTCTGTGTAACAAGTCACCCCAAATTTTAGTGGTTTAAAACAACAACTGCACATTTAGTTCCCAGTTTTTTTTTTTTTTTTTTTTTTTTTTTTTTTGAGACAGTCTCACTCTCTTCCCTGGGCTAGAGTGCCGTGGCATCAGCAACCTCAAACTCCTGGGCTCAAGTGATCCTTCTGCCTCAGCCTCCCAAGTAGCTGGGACTATGGGCATGGGCCCACCATGCCCGGCTAATTTTTTCTATATGTTTTTAGTTGGCCAATTAATTTCTTTCTAATTTTTAGTAGAGACGGGGTCTTGCTCTTGCTCAGGCTGGTTTCAAACTCCTGACCTGAGCATCAACCCCACCTAGCCCTCAGGAGTGCTAGGATTACAGGGTGAGGCCACCGCCCGCCGGCGTTCTGCGCGTTCTTTGAGTTAGCAGTTTGAGCGCCATCTGGGCAGTTCCTTTTGATTGTCCAGGTTGTTCTGATCTCTGTGTTTTGTCCTTTTCTGGATCATTGTGCACCTGCGGTTGATGCCGTGGTCACCTGGGGGGCTAGGTGGAGTGTCCGGGCAGGGTACCCTCAGTTCTTCCACTGCCTGGCCTCTATACATCAGCAAGCTAGCCAGCCTTGTTCACGTGCTTGAGTCTGATCACTGGGCTTAAACTGGCACCCAGGTGTCACCTCTTGAGTCCCCAGGTAGGCTTCAACTGGCACCAAGTGTCACTTCGGCCACTTTCTATTTCTTAAAGCAGGTCGCAGGGGGTCAGCCCAGATTCAAAGGGTGGGGAAAGACTAGACTCATCTTCTGGATGGGAAGAGCTTAGGTAGTAATAGGCCCAGCCATTCTTCGGAACCCCTTTGCAGCAGAAGGCCCCCACCTGCACCTTGCCAGGCACAGCCGGTACTGGGTTTAGGGGACAGGTAAGACACCGTCCGCTTGGGTTCAGGCAGCTCACTGTTCCAGTTGTGGAGAGAGGGCTTCAAATATGATGCGATGTACAAAGCACAGTGTTACAAGGGCCATACGGGGACAGAGAAAGTGGGATCTTTTAATGGGGCCAGAAACGCCAGCCATTCTACCTGCCTGCCGAGTAGTATAAGCGCGAGGCTGTTGCAGAAAAAGGGCACGGCTGTCTCTTGAGAGTGACTGGAAGTTTTCTAGGGCGAGAGGTGTGGGCCAATGCAGAAGATGATGAATAAGGAAAGGTGGGGAAGTATATTGAGCGCCTAGGTAGGTGGAAAGTGGTAGAAAGGACACAGGTTACTGCAGGGCTCTTTGATCAAGTCCCAAGCTTAGTTTAAATTTGAGTCTGACTTAGTGGCAGATGGGTGCAGGAGTGCAGGGAAATGAAGGTGTGTGGATTGTCAGAAATATCGACTATGTTAGTCCATTTCACGTTGCTATAAAGGAATACCTGAGCCTCGGTAATTTGTAAAGACAAGAAGTTTATTTGGTTCCTAGTTCCTCAGGCTGTACAAGAAGCGTGGCCCTGGCATGTGCTTGTGATAAGGGCCTCAGGAAGCCTCCACTCGTGGCAGAAGGCGAAGGGGGAGCAGGCATGTCACATGGCCAGAGAGGGAGCAAGAGAGAGAGGAGGGGCTACCCAGGCTCTTTTAAGCAGCCAGCTCTCACGTGAACTAATGGAGCGGGAACTCACTGGTTACCGAGGGGAGGGCACCAAGCCATTCATGAGGGATCTGCTCCAATGACCCAAACACCTGCCAGTGGGTATCCAATTGGTATCCAACACTGGGTATCCAATTTCAACATGAGATTTGGAGGGGCCAAATATCCTAACTAAATCACTGACCATTTCTTCTTTTTTTTTTTTTTAATTAAAATAGAAATGGGGGTCTCGCTCTTGCTCAGGCTGGTCTCGAACTCCTGAGCTCAAGCAATCCTCCCACCTCGGCCTCCCAGAGTGCTAGGATTACAGGAGTGAGCCACCATCTCTGGCCGGCAGATATCACTGACCAATTCTGAAATTCCTCAACACTTATGTGCTGACCCTTTTTATTGTAAAGTGACGTAATTCCAATGACAAAAGGGCATTTGTCGGGCTTAGCTGTGTCCAGAGGCTCCAAAATGCCAACAGGACTCAGCCTTTCTCCTTCCATCTCCCGGCTCTGAGCCAGCTCCAAGGAGGAACATTGGGTTGGTCTACAAAGATCCTCATGCGTCTTGCTCTGATGTTCACCCTCTCCTATTGTTTCCGTTCTCGGCTGTACCAGAACAGCCCGTGTGGGTTTTCTTATTTCAGTTGGCTGCCTGGGGGGAGGGCCGGAGAAGCCTTCGGAACTCTGGTGCTGCTGCACGGATCTAAATGTCAGCTCACGCGGGCAGCCCAGAGGCTGAGCCAGGGTGGATTTTCCCACTCCCTCTGGGAAGGATTTTTCTTCTGCAGGCAGGAGCAGGTGTCTGTCTTCCCACAAAGTCCTTTCTGAGACCCTGAGGCGGAGGAGCCGGAATAGGAGTGAGCGCAGGCCTGCAGGTCTCCCTCAGTTCTTTGACCAAAGGCACAGCCCAGCCCCCAAGCCAGGAATGAATCGATGAAACTGACCCCAGGCCTTTGGTCACAGATTAGCAAGATCCCATTTCCCCACATTACGAAATTAGCTGGGGACCAGGCACGGTGGATCACGCCTGTAATCCCAGCACTTTGGAAGGCCAACGTGGGAGGATCATTTGAGGCCAGGAGTTCAAGACCAGCCTGGGCAACACAGACCCCATCTTTACAAGAAAGAAAGAAGCAAAAAAAGAAAGAAGAGAGAGAGAGAGAGAAGAGAGAGAGAGAGAGAGAGGAGAGGAAAAGAGAAGAGAGAGAAGAGAGGAGAGAGAGAAGAGAAGGAAAGGAAAGAAGAAAGAAAGAAAGAAAAAAGAAGAAAGAAGAAAGAAAGAAAGAAAGAAGAAAGAAAGAAAGAAAGAAAGAAAGAAAGAAAGAAAGAAAGAAAGAAAGAAGAGAGCGAGAGAAATGAGCTGGGAAACAACAGAGAAAGACGGTGGAGAACTAGTTGAGATACCTTGCCCTGTCTGTCTCTCTTTGTCTCTCTGGCAACAGGACTTCCCTAATTGCCACTTTTGTGGCAACTCCCATCATGCTGGTCGCCTGAGAGCATTTCAGATCATTCGTCTTCTGAAAAGTGCTCGAGGTGAGAGAAAATGGAGAGTGAAAGTGTTTATCGCAATGCCCAGGCTTAACCCTGAAAGATATTTAAGATGGTCTCAGGCCTTCTGAAAAAGAAGGTGCTGACTCTCTCAATGAGGCTTTTGTTTGGTGAGGAAAACAATAGAAAAAAATGACTAGCAAGCTGCCAGGACTCCCATCCGATGTGTTATAACTTGGCTTTTCCACCCACCTCGTCTTTCAACACCCCCACCCCCCACCGTGCTGTCTATGGAATCTGGGCTTGCACAGGGTGCCAGGCATAGATCAGACTGTAGCACCACGAAAGGCAGGGAAAAGACAAGCCGACACAGCAAAGGGAGGGCGAGACTGCTATCCGTGAGCCTGGCAGGCAGTTTCAGCCCAAAGATGTGTTGCATCTGGCCCATACCCTACTATAATTTTTAAAAGTTAGGTGTCCACAATTCACATAAAAATGCAGACTTCCGGCTTCTTTGGAACAATGGAGATTGACAGCACCGAGTCCTTATTCCTATATAGCGCCAGTGGGCCGTGGCTGTTGTTAGTAGGGCTGCCCCAGTTAGATGGGGGCCCCCTAGTTTGCCATCCCTGCCCTCCCCCAACACCTGCTCTGTAGTGAGCAAGGACACAGCACCCACCTGTGCCAGGTCCTGTGCTGAGTGCTTTACATCAGTGGGTCGCCAACTGCTGCACGTTAGGATTTCCTGGGAGCTTTTAAATATCCCGACATCCAGGCCTCCAAGCCAGTTAAGTCAGTATCTCTGGGGGCGCAAGCCAGGCATCAGAACTTTGCAATCCCCCAAGTGGTTCCGAAGCACAGCCGAGGGTTAGACCCAGTGCTCATCCATGCAGCGCTCACCCAGGTAGCCCCTGCTCTGGACCCTGGGGCTACACTGCACACTGATCATGGCCTGCCTTTCCCGAGGGCACCTCAGTACCCTACCCTCTCGCAGATACCAGTAGCCACACATCAAAGAAGAGCGTGACAAACACCCTAGAGGAGTCCCAGATAAAGCTCCAGCAGGCGCCAGAGGAGCGAGGGGAGACTTCTCAGCAGAGGCGTCCTGCACTGAGGTGATGGAAAGGTCTCCGTCACTTCTGGAAAACGTAGCTCTGGAGGTTGGCTTAAAGTCAGCAGATATTTTCAGTTCAGCTGGTAAAAATATTCTCAGCCTCGTCTCTAACGAGTATTCATGGTTCCTGCCTGCGAAGATTATATAGTGTTTATGGCCCTTGGTCATGAATTATTAATGATTTTGAAATTGTGGTCATTGTAGTTTACTCAAAAATCATTAGGAAGTAAATTTATCTTACAGTGTTAGAAAAATAAAAAAAGGAAATAGCAGAGGAGGAAGAGATCTTTGTTCATCATCCAGTCCATCCCCACAGCGTCCATGCTGGTACGCAGGGCACTGTGGGGTTCAGGGATGTGGTGCTGGGGACATACATGTCCTCCTGCCACACAGAGCCACAGAAGCCCCTGGCGACTCCATGAATTAGTGCCCACAGTGTGCTCTGGGGGCAGCAGATCAGGTCCTGGGGTCAAGCAGCTCTGCCTCAAATCCTAGTTGTGGGACCTTGAACAAGTCTCTTGACCCTCTCGCCTCCTTTGATAATGCCCCTCTTGGAGAGCTGATATACAGATGAAAGGCAGA